TTTCTTCTTCCCGTCCTGAACTTTTTCTACCAGGTTCTTGGTCCTCTCCTAGCTCCCAGTGTAGCTGTGTTTTTTAATCTTCACCAGTGCTTAACTGTTAAACAGTTTGTTGACCAAAGCCTTGGCCAGCACTAAGGCAAGTTTGTCGCCAAGTGGCTTAACCTCCAATTGTGCTAGACTGTCGAAAAGTGTCTCGACTAGCTTGTTGCACTAAACCGTTTGCTGTGGTAAGCCAAGTGTACTGACCATTAGCTTTTTTAATCGGTCAATCAAGTAGGCATGTCAACCTGTGTGACGACCGACACCTCAGCATCTGCGTCGCGCAGTGTGAAATTAAATATATTATTCTTGACTTATGTTTTCTTGTGAGTCATTGTGTCAAGCAGCGCTCCGGCCGTTATAGAGAAGGCTGCGTAATTAAAGCCACTCGGTTTTCTATTTTGCTACCTTGTTACCTAGTGTGTCCTTCGGCCGCTCGGTCTTTCTTTCGTCCCCTGCATAGTAACTTGATACTTGTGGTAGCCTGTAATCTAGTGCACTGAAGAGACCATTTGCCTTTTTTATTGCGAGTGTGTTTGCAATAGTATCGACGTTTAATTTTGCTAGCCCGAGAGGCAAGAAGAGTCTCGATAGCTTTCTTTGCTAGTGTTTCACCCAGAGTCTCCATTTAAGCCTAGGCCTCTACTTCAGCAACTGACTAACCCAAGTGTCTTCATCTGCAGGTGTGCTGGTCTTTCCACCAGTGTATCGACCTTCGCCTCGGCCTAGACCTTTGTCAGCTCTTATCAAAGTGCCTTAATTCTCACCACCGCTATGCTAAAAGCCACTTTGTTGACCATAAGCTGTGTTGTAAAATGTTTTGATATACCACATTATTCTGTCTCTGAGTTTGTCCATTAGCACCTTGGCCTTCACCTCGGCCAGTGTTTCTGCATCTGTATCTCTGCTAGTGCGTTAGCTAGTAAGTCGACTAGCGCTCTTGCCTCCACCTTCGCCAGTTTCTGCGCGAGTGTCTTGACCATTACTTCTGCTACTATGTTTGCCAGCGTTTTTAAAAGAGCCGGCCAGTGTCTTGGCAACTGTCTTCTCTGGAAGCCTGTCTGCCTATGTGCAAAAAAACTCCTTTGCCTTTACCTCCGCCATGTGTAGACAACTGTATCACTCTTGACTCATGCTATCTTGAGAGTTAGTGCGTCGAAAAGTGCCTCTTTCTTTTCACGGCAAGTGTGTCACCAATTAACTCGACCTTCTTCTTTGCTACTCATTAAGTCGAAGTGCTGATCGGTGCCTAGATTTCATTTTCATTAGAGGGTCGCTTAAAGTCTCCACTAAGGCTCCCATCTCTATCGTGGTTTACAGAGTGGCCTATTTTCTTGACTGCCACCTCTGTCAGCCTTGCAACCAACGTTCATATTCGCGCCACAGTTCTTTTCTCGGCCAGTAGATATAGCAGTGTCTAGACTTTTTTCTTTGCTCGCTTTTAGGCCCGTTTGCTAAGCTGCGCCTGTGATTTCAACAGCGCCTGTGCCTTCGCAAGTGTTAATGCCTTCTCTTCTGCATGAACGTTAAACAGTACTCCGACCGAAGACAGGCCTTTACCTAGTTGACTGTCTCGCCAGTTATCGCACGCCTTACCTCTAGTAGCTCGCAAGTGTGGCAATATGTATGTAAGCTATCTTCTTAGCAATTTTTTCGCCAAGTGTCAAGATCTCCAACTCTGCTAGTTTGTCTGCCAGACTACTACTTTAGCGTCCAACTTCGCTTGTGTCTTGCCAAGTATCTCCACCTACATCCGTTGTAATGTGTCTGCGTGTGTCTACCACCGGCTCTGCATTCATCTCTGCCAATGTCTCATTAACTGCCCCAACATCCATTTTTCTTAGTCTCTAAGCCGATTTTTCTAAAGCACTTCTGCTTCTCTTTAAGCCGCTGTTTCGCCCAGTTGCTCTATTTCCAAATCTGTTAGCCTTTTAGCCAGAGTGTCGATAAGAGCCTCAGTCTTTATCTCGAAAGTGGGGTAAAAAACGTCTAAATCTTGAGGCCTGCTAGCCTTTTAGCCATTTTGTCGTCCAGCACCTCGGTCTTGACCTCTGGCATTGCGTTGCCAGTTGCCTAATTCTTTACACGCCGTTCAGCTTTTGTCCAAGTGTCTTGACCCTAATCACTGCTATCCTATTAGCCACCTTGTTGACCAGAAGCTTCGCTTTCAATTCGTCCACTGTGTTCTAGAATGATCTTTCATTGTGTCCAGAAGTGCCTTCGCGTGCACCTCAAGCAGTTTCTAGCCAAGTTTCTGCATCTGTATCTCTGCTAATATGTTAGCCAGTGTTTCGACCAGCGCTTTATCCGCCGTTATGGCCAGTTTGTCCGCACGTGTCTTGACTTTTACTACTGCTACCATGTTAGCCGTTTTTTTAAAAAGCACCTTAACATTTATCTCGGCCAGTGTGTAGGTAACTGTCTCTCCCTTTTTCTCAAGAATCCTGTTAGCCTGTGTGTAAAAAACCACCTTAGCCTCTACCTCAGCAATGTATAAACAACAGTCTCATTCTTAACTTATGCAATTTTTTGAGTTAGAGCGTCAAAAAGTAACTCATTCTTTTCTGGGCAAGTCTGTCAGCTAGCGTCTCGACCTTGTTTTATTGCTACCGTGTAATTGACTGTGTCGATCGCCACCAACCTTTAATTTTGATTAAAGTCTCGACCAAAGCGTTCGTCTCTATCGAGGTTACTGTTTCGCCTATTCTTTTGACTTGCACCTTTGTTAGCATAGTTTCTCCGCCTTTGTGTACAGAAGTGTCTTTAGTTGCTGCTCTGTTGTCAAGTACGTGAATGTTACTATGCAGGGACCGAGAGAATGGCCGAAGGGCTAAACGGGACACTGAGTAACAGGCTAGCAAAGAAGAAGGTCGAGATGCTTGGTTACGCAACTTCATGCATAAAGTCTAGGGCGCTGCTCAACACACGGATTGTCAAACAAGTATAAAAGAAGGTCAAAACAGTTGTCAAGACACTGAATAATTTGTAAAAATATGCGCCTGTCGACAGACTTTCTGACAGGCTAGCACAATTAGAGGATGACGAACTTAGCGACACACTTGCCTTGGTGCTGGCCCAGGCGGTGGTCAACAAACTGTCTGACAGTCTAGCATTGGTGAAAGTCAAAAAACAAGGCTACAGTTGGAGCGACGTGAAGGACAAGGCGTTGGTAGAAAGAATGCAGTACAGGCAGAAGAGAAGGTCGAGACACTTGGTGACACACTCGAAAAGGTGGAGGCTAAGATATTAGAAGACACACACAGTGAAAAACCAAAAGAGATAAAGTGATGGGGATTTAGAAAAACACTGGCCAATGTGTAAGGCAGAGGCACAGGTCAACCCATTGGCTAACAAGCTTACAAAAGTGCATGCTTAAACCTCTTTGTAACCTCTGGTGGAGGTATAGGCCGAGGCGGTGGTCGTAAAGAACGAAGAAGCGCTTGCCCTCAAACTGTCTTACACAATGACATAAGTAGAGTATGATACACTTGCCTAAACACTGCGCGAGGTAGAAACTGAGGTGATGGTCGCCACACAGGTTGGCATGTTTGCAGAAGTAAAGGTCCAGACACTCTTAAGACTCTGACTGACGAAAACAGTGAGGCACTTTTTACACACTGGCTAACAGGCCAGAAGTAGTGAAGTTCAAGACACTTGCGGGCATGCTCGCCATTGTGGATGCATGGCCCTGGTCGATACATTTGCAGTCAGGTTTAGCAGAGATGAAGTTGCAGAAACTTGGTGCGACACTGGATGACGCGGAGACCAGTCTGGTAGTACAAACACCGTTTCAGAAACTCAAAGAGAAACTAACGCAAGAAAGGTCCGAGGCGCTCTTCGACACACTGGTTAACAGAGTATGCAAGTAAAGCAATAGACAAGTGGCAACACACCGCCAGAGGTGAAAACAGAGGCGCTGGGTGACAGACTGACCAAAAGGCTAGCAGAGGTTAAGGTTTAGACGATTGTTACCTTTCTGTTTGAGAGAAGGGCTTATGGGCTGGCTGACAGGCTTACAGATGTGGAAATAGAGACACTTGCCAAAACAGTGGCTCGAAGATTCTACGAGGTGCTTATGAAGCAATTGGCTTAAAAGCTAAAAACAGTGAATTTTGAGACACTTAACGAGCGAAGCGTAGACGTAAACGTACAGGCGCTGGTGCACACAGGCAAACACACTAGCACAAGTCGAGAACGATACAGTTGTCTAAGCACGCTCAAAGTAGAGGCTGAGGTGTTTTTCGACATACACGCGCAAAGCCTTCGAGCGCAAAAGGTTTAGACACTTGCCTAGACACTTGCTGCGGCCAACGCCAAAGCACCTTCCAAAACGCTGGCTAACATGGCGGCAGTAGTAAATGTCAAGACAGTTGCGGACAAACTAGCCAACGTGAAGGCCAAAGCACCGGCAGATACACTGGCTAACACACTAGCACAGAGGTAACATAGGCGCTTACAGGCTAGTGGAGAAAGAGGTCGAGAGACTCGGTAACACCTCGCTAAAGCTGAAAAGGTGTAAGCACTGTTCAAAACACTGGGCTGGTTGACATGTCAACACAGGTGGAGTAGGCGAAACTTGCCAACACATTGGCCGAGATGTAAAGCAGAGGCACTGGTCGACTCACTGCGCAACAAGCCAGAACAAAATATGTATTTTATATAGCACTTGGTGACACACTGGCCAAGGTGACAGGCAGAGACACTGGTCGACACACTGCCTAACAGACTGGCAAAGATTGAGATACAGATAATTGGCCACACACTCGCAAAAGTGCAGGTTGGCAAATATAGAGACCTTAAGATCCGACGACGGCGGGTGTCTACAACGGCGGCCGTGAGCTGGGGGAAATGGCGAGAGGTCGCCGTCGTATGGCGCGAAAAATTGACCTTAAGATCTACTGTGGAGGAGGCGGACGGCTTCATAACAAGCTTTCGGGGGCTTTCAGTATTTAAGTGAAAGTATGGCATCCTTTAGAGATATACGTAACCTTCTTGTCGAAAGTTTTGATGACGGTGATATTTCCGAGGACGAATTTCTCCTTCTTTACGATGCAAACACCTCGAAAAACCCAGATTTTTCTTATGACTGCGATGGATCGTTCGACTTAAATGAGATGGACGACAGCAAGTGTTTGGCTGAGTTTCGTTTTCATAAGAATGATGTTCCCGTCCTTTTAGAAGCGTTGCAGCTCTCTCAGTCTTTCACGTGCCACAAAGAAACAATTTGTGACGGAATAGAAGCGCTTTGCATAACACTGAGACGATTTGCTTACCCATGCAAATACAGCGATTTAATTCCACGATTTGGTCACCCTGTTGCAGAGCTGAGTATGCTATGCAACCTCGTGATGGATACAATTTATCAAGAGCACAATCACAGAGTAACTCAGTAGAATAATACGCTTCTAAGCCCTCCACTTCTTGAAAGCTATGCCCGTGCGATTGCCTCAAAGGCAAGTCCATTACCTAATTGCGTTGGTTTACTAGACGGAACAGTAAGGCCAATTTGTCGACCCGAACAAAACCAGAGGACCGTTTGTAATGGACGTAAGCGAGTACGTGGTATGAAGTACCAGTCTGTTCTCTTACCTAATGGTATGATAGCCAACATGTACGGCCCAGTAGGTAATTGTTTTAATATGTTGCTTTTTTTAAGGGGAAGGGGGAGATTTGGAATCATTATACCCTTACTTCACAATCTAAAATAATCATTTATCTGATCTCTTTAAGAGGGTTTGGATGCGCGATTCAGGTATGTTGGCTGATTCTGGTCTAATTCGCGATCTGGAGCAGCATGCCTTCTCCACAACAAGAGAACCAATCGCCCTATATGGGGACTCCGCCTATTCCCTACGTGTCCACCTCCAAGTGCCATACAGAGGTACCGCAATAACACCACAAATGGAGGTGTACAGCAAAGCCATGAGCGCCGTTGGTATGTCTGTAGTGTGGATTTTCCGGGATATCGTTAATTATTTTAAATTTTTCTTATTTTAAAAAAAATATAAAAATCTCCCTTAGTGCAGTCGGAAAAATGTACGTTCTGTGTTCCATTCTACGTAATGCCTTAACCTGTATGTACACCAAGTCTACATCAGAGTACTTTGCCCTGGACCCTCCAACCATTGAAGATTATTTTTCTTGAACATTTCAATGTATTCATCTGTAAAACATAAACCTTTTCAAATGCTTGTTTTTAATTATGTAGAAACAAAATTTCGACATCTTGACAAATTTGAATTGTAATTAAGCAGAGTGAGTTACTAAAAATAAACTGATCAAAAATATCAGGAACATGTGCCGAAGAGTTTGTTCTTAACAACAAACACCTCTGTCAAATATAAATATAAACCATTTAAATGCTATAAAAGCAAGCATTCACAACAAAATGAACAGTAGCATGCAAATCAAGCCAAGTTATTTTTTCTTTCTAGAAGCTGCATAATTATCTGAGACTGCTGCCGTTGCATTGAGGTAAACATCTGCTGAAAGCTTTGCATCTGCTCTTGTTGCTGCTTAGTTTGTTCTAGCAAGATTTTCATCATATCCCTATGTTGTTTTCTTGACTGATCTTTCCGTTTACCCTCAACTTCAACTCTCGGCTTTTGCAGCTGCAATTCTTCCTCTTTCCACTTTTGAACAAGCACATTTTTTTCGCCCAAATATGCAATTGTGTCACCTCCACTTCTACGACTTTTTTGCTTTCGTTTCGCATTCTCCTCATTCTCATTACGCTGCCTCTTCTGTGTTCTGCCCAAGCTCTCTAGAAATCTGTTTCTCGTTTGCACTGCTTTTGCGTTGTCAAGTTTCTTCTTGTCGTTTCCCACGGTGTCTTCAGCTGCAACTTCTTTTTCGGCTATTTCTTGCAGAGCCTTATCCACATCACTCAAATCACATTCGATTCCGTTGGCCTTCTCTTCGTCTTTCATCTGTGCTTTAAATTTTTCGCTCAGCAGCGTGTATCTCTCTCTAACAGTATGCTTACTGACTTTGAATCGGGGGAGCTCAATGCCGTTCAGATTGTTTGCAATTTTTTCTCAGATCTGACCTCTAGAAATGCTTTCTTTCTTGTGCTTAAAGGGTTCAAGTACTAAAATTTCTTGGCACAAGTAGTTGTTATGTTCCTCCGTCCACTCCATGTTTGATCTGAAAAATCATAATTACATCTACCTTCATGAAAAAAAATTTCGCTCAAACAACCTTAGGTAAATTATTCAATTAAATTTATGGTTTAGCTTTCATTAAAAAGGAAAAATTAGTTGACAACTACTTAGTGCACTGTTTTCTTTGAGATTACTTCCACTGAGGCTTATTTGCAGACACAAACTTTCGAAGCTGTTTAGGAGGAGAAAGAAACCAGTCAATTTTCGCTTTTAAACGAGTTCTCCTACCTATTTTCAGTTGTCACAAGCTACGAAAAAATTGTCATTTTATTACAAATTGAAAATATTCGATAAATTCCATTGAAATGGCCTTAAAATAAAAGAAATTTACTCACGTTTTAGACAAGACGGCAAACAGTTCGTTTTGACGTCTCAGACAACACAGCTAAGGCGGAAAACCTCACGCGACAGCTACCGGAAGTGCGCAGGCAAATATTTGCAACTTCCGCTCGCCGTCGTAGACATCCGCCTTCGTCGGATCTTAAGGTCCCTAAAGCCAACACAGAAGAAGTCTTAGAAACCTTGCAACACATTGGCTAAGGTGGAAAAGAAAAGCGCTAGTAAATACACTGGCTAACAGTCTATAAGAGAAGACGTTCGAGGCACTTTTTAACAAACTAGCTTTAAGTTTAGGCAGAGACGCTGGGCGACAGATTCAGCGAGAGAATTTTAGAGGTGGCGGTTCGAGAAAAGTAACATTACAGTGCCTTGTAGACAAGCAGAAGTAAACGTCGAGACACTTAGCGACCCACTAGAAAGATCATGCCGGGGCCGCTATACGACATAATCGCTAGCACAAGTAAAGAGCCAGACACCTGGTAACACACTGGCCGAGGTAGAGGCTAAGGTACTTGTAAACGCTGGCTAAAAGGCTAGCAAAAATAAGGTTCAATACACTTGCCTAAACACTGCCAAAAGTATAGTGCAAAAATGAAATGGAGGCACTGACTGACCGGCTACTAGCAGGTAAATTTTGTTACTCTGTAAGACCAACTTGACAACGCAAAGAAAGATGGACACTTGCTCACAGAGGTCGAGAAACTTTTCAAAAGCCTTGCTAAGGTTTAGGTTTCGATGGTAATGGACACACTAGGCGACACGCTAGCAAAGACGGAGGTTGAGACACTTTGTGACAGAAAGGCCGGAAAAATAGAAAATTTAAAATCTTGCAGACAATCGCCAAAGGCAGAGTCGCTCGTCGATGCATTAGCCGACAGTCTAGCAGATATAAATGTTAAGACACTTGGCGACAAACTGGTCCACGTAGAAGCAGAGGAGTTCAGAGGAGATCAAGAAACGTGGCCAAACACTATCCGAGGTAGGCACTGTATGCGCACTAGCAAAGAGGGTACCTGTGGTGGAGGTAGTAAAAGTTACTTTGTAAGAGCCAAGGTAAAGGCCAAGGGCCTGAACGAGACACTACGTAAAAGGCTAGCAAAGAAGTATGTCGAGATATTCAATTATGCAAGTTCATAGATACAGACTAGTGTGCTGCTCGACAGACTAATGTCAGATAAGTATAAAACAAGGTCAAAACAGTTGTCGAGATCAGCTAAGTTGTCGAGACACTGTTGCCGAGAACACTTGCTAAGGTCTAGACGTATCCACTTGTGACACACTTTCTGACAGTCTAGCACAATTGCAGAGTAAGCCACTTGCGACAAACTTTTCTTGATGCTGGCCAAAGCGGTGGTCAACAAACTGTCAGACAGTCTAGCAGTGGTGATTGTCAAAAAACTTCGCTACACTGGGAGCTAGAGAAAGAACGAGGTGTTGCTAGAAAAAGCACAAGACAGTCCAAACAGAAGGTCGAGACACTTGGTGACACACTAGCAAAGTTGAAGGTAAGGTATTGGTGGACAGCTACGGTGAAAAACTAAAAGCGATACAGTTGCATATCCTGCAATCACAATGGCCAATGTGTAAGATAGATGCACGTGTCTTCCCATAGGCTTAAAAGCTCGAGAATAAAAAACTTGCTAACACACTGCTCAAGGTAGAGGCCGAGTTGTTGGTTGTCACACAAGTTGCGATGCTTGCAGAAGTGAAGGTCCAAACACTTGCAACACTCTGACCGAGTTAAAATCTGAGGCCCTTTTTAGACACTGCATAACAGGCTAGCAGTAATCGAGAAACTTGCACACAATCTGGCTATCGCAACTGCAAGAAAATCGTCGATACATTGGCAGGCAGACTAGCAGAGATGGAGATGCAAACACTTGGCGAAACACTGGCTGAGTTGGAGGACAAGGCGCCAGTAGTCACAATTTTTCAGACATGCCAAGAGAAACTGACCCAAATTAAACCGAGGAGCTCATCGACAGACTGCCTAAGAGAGTATCGAAGTGAAGCATTAGACAACTGGTAACACACTGCCAGAAGTGAAAACTGAGGCACTGGACGAATAACTGGCTGTAACGCTAAAAGAGGTCAAAGTTGACACGCTTGTTACCTTACTCTCCGACATAAGGGCTAAGGCGCTCATGCACACACTGGCTGCCACGTTGTGAAAATAGAGACACTTAGCGAGACAGTGGCTGAAAATACGAAGAGGTGGTTATAGGCAAATTTCTTACGTCCTAAGATGAGGAGATCTTGAGACAGTTAACGAGACAGTGGCACACGTAAAGGCACAAGCCCTGGTTGTCACAAGAAGACAAACTAGCACAAGTAGAGATCGACGCACGTGGCAACACACAAGTAAGTTTATAGGCTTACGTTTTAGTCGACACACTGGCAGACAAACTAGCAGAGTTGAAGATTCTGACACCTAACGAGACACTTGCCCAAATAAAAGCGCGCGGTTGTCCCCACACTCACTTACAAGCAAGTAGAGGTAGAAAGTAAGACAACTAGCGCAACAGTCACCTAGGTAAAGGTCTGTCGTTAGTTGGCACACTGTCTAACATGTATGCGAAGGAGAAGACCTGCACACTTGCATAGACACTTGGCAACCTACAGGCCCAGTTGGAAGCAGAGGTGGTGCTAAACAAGCTGGCTTAAAAGCTTCGGAGAAGAAAGTCCAGACACTACTGTACACATCAGCCGAAAAAAAAATTAAGCGCTAATAAACACATTGGTTGCAAGGCTAACAGAGGTGCAAGTTAAGCCAATAGGTTACGAAGTAACTACGATGGAGACAGAAGCCTTTGTTGAGACTTTGAGTGATCTGGTTATAAAAATAAAATCTAGGCGCTGAACGACACAGTGAGTTACACTCTACCAATTAA